ACCTACACCCAAAGTGGGCATTGCCATACCTACAGGAGAAGTTTGGTTTCATTGGAGTGTATATTTGTTTGGTAAAAGAGAAAACTCACTCTCCTTGAGTTATAAAGAAACAGAATAAGGGTCCAAAAACTTTACCTTCGATTTTCTCAAAACAGCATTTTTTGGGATAGCCCCCTTGTGCTTAAAAGCGACAATATATCGTCACCTCAGAAGTATTTTGTCCAAAGTGCCCCTTTACTGAAGTACACAAACTAGTTCAGAGGCGACCATATGTAAAATGTTGATAGGGGCGTTAAACCTAAACCATTTCACCATTGTTCACAGCTGATGTTTTGTTTTAGTAAGTGCTTTACGGCACTTGCAACACAATAAGGTCACAGAAGTGCCCAAGATTACAGGTGTTGCGAGAGAGTGACAAACATAAAAAAGAAGGAGGGGAGATAAAGACGACAGATGTTTAAAGGGAAAGAAAAAGCAGACCCACACCAGAGCACCTGCCAACCACCCACTTCACAGCTGAGAGTCATGGTTCGTTGGCTCTCAAGAAACACGTACACACAAAAGCAAGGGCAGATAATTCTCCTCTTGGTGACAAGACGCCCTTTGTGAGTGGTGTGTACATTTTAATGTGATTCTCTAGGGTGTGCTTTTGTTCCACACGCTAAAATACAAATTGCGCTGTGCTGGGATCAGTTCCAGACCATCATTCAATCAATATACAGGTGGATTTTTTTTTTCGTTTTCTTTCCACCAGGATTACATGATAGGAACCAGAACTGCGAGATGATATCATCACTTCACGTGGGCTGAGGTAAAGAGGAACGAATATAATAATACGAGGAAGCTACATAAGCCGATGTCATCACGTTAGTTCGAGTTGGAGTGTGTTTTAGTTTTCGTACGTGTTTTACGGCACTTGCAGCACAGTAAGGTCATGTATACGTGCCCCAAAAATAGATGTGTTACAAGACAGTAACATACACAAAAAAGGAGGAGAGATAAGGATGATGGATGTTTGATAGGAAAGAAAGGAGCAAACCACACCAGAGCACCCACCAACCACCCACCGAGTCGGAGTATAGTGCTGCAAATCTACATAATAACGACGAAGACAAAAACAGCAGCAGCAGCAACAGCAGCAACAACAGCAG